CTTATCAAACGTGTGAAGTTTGGGGCAGATCGGACATTGTTTGCCTGAGTTACAGCAACTTCCTGTTTCATGGCGAAACATCGAATTTTGTCAGGCCGCCAGGGACACGCCCTTCGACAAAAACTCAAGATCTTCGCAATTTAGCATTGCAAAGGCCTTATGATAACACTCAGCAAATTCCGATTAAAACTGTAGGAGGGAGTTCATTAAAGTACGAGGCCTGAAAATGGAAAAAACTGCACAAAAATCGTACAGGAATTTCAAAATAACGGACTTCCTGTTGGGTATCGGATTTTGTACCAAGAGACTTTTTTGTAGGTAATGGTGTGTTACATGTGCCACACCCACTTCTGAAACCCATATCAGACGTAAATTTCACCACCTCTGATGCGTGTGCAAAGTTTTGTGAGTTTTTGAGCATGTTTAGGCCCTCAAAAATGCGATTCATTTTGGAGAAGAAGAAGAAACGGAGCAATTCCAATAGGGTCCTCATACCATCGGTGCTCGGGCCCTAAAAAATTAGTTCCTGCTTATATGTATACTCCTCAAAATGTATACATTTATAAACGTCAATATATCCAAGTATATCCACATGTAAACTGTCAATTGTTGGGCTCTTGAAAGGTGAAATTGTAACTGCTACAACTAACTGGCTATGAATGAAATAGCACTGCCATCCACTCATTTTTTGGTTTCAGTCCTGTGTTTTCAACAAAAATTATGTCTTATATCAAATATAAATTGTACCTATAATCAAAATATAGGCTAACAATTGTCTGTTTCAATGTTTCTACAGGTTTCTCAGAGTAGTCCAGAGGAAAGTAATACAGGGCCACCACCCGGACAAAAGAGACCGGCAAGTTACCTAGTTATATGCTGAACCATAACAATAGAAAACATCCTATGGGACAAGCTGTAACCTGTAACAGAATCTGTAACTTAAATGTTGTTTTGCTTTTCAGCAGGCCCAGAGAAATCCCTCTTTCCCAAGCTTCGTGGATAGTAAGTTCAGTTTTATTTAAACACAATTGAATATTGTGACTCAAACCTTCAAAGAAGGTTGAACTGTGCATCTGTTTGTTTGTTGATAATTGGTATAGTATTGATATTAGAGTCAAGTTTAGACTATTTGCTCGAGTTTCAGGTGATTTTTAAGCAGTGTTGGGAAGGTTACTTTGGAAATGTAAGAGGTTACAGATTACAAGTTACCCCATTTAAAATGCAATAAGTAGTGTAACTATTTCAATGACTTTTAATAAAGTAATGTAACCGATTACTTTTTTTTTATTTTGTAATTAAATTACGCTGTTACATGTAACTAGTTTCTCCCCAACACTGTTTATTAGATGTTGTAAATCCATGTTTTTGCATTTGTTTTCAGTCCCTGGTCCATGTGAGCCAGAAGATCTCATCAATGGAATCATCTTTGCCGCAAACTACCTTGGCTGTACCCAAGTGCTCTCCGACAGAAACCCATGTAACCCCCTTTGTAATCGTTAATATTTTTATAAGTTACTGGAATATAATTACACATATTGGATATACACATACACATAATGGATTACAGTTACATTTATTTTGTAATTAAATTACGCTGTTACATGTAACTAGTTTCTCCCCAACACTGTTTATTAGTTGTTGTAAATCCATGTTTTTGCATTTGTTTTCAGTCCCTGGTCCATGTGAGCCAGAAGATCTCATCAATGGAATCATCTTTGCCGCAAACTACCTTGGCTCTACCCAAGTGCTCTCCGACAGAAACCCATCCAAAAGCGTACGCATGAAGCAAGCGCAGGAAGCTGTGGACTGCGTTAAGGTACTTTATAAGATTCTCCACACAAAAATATTTCTGCTGCCTTGGTAAGGCTCTTGTAAATGTTACTTGAAGTGTGCTTCATGGTTTAATATTTTGTGGATATAATGGTGTCAGAAGTTCCCTCTCAGTCCACTAGATGACACTGTAACCTTTGTGAAACCATGTTCTTCAGTCTGTAGAGGGTGAAGCTCAGAGTTTAACAGAGATTGACTTGTTCATCTCAACCAAGGCCATCAAGGTGCTCAATGCTGACACACAGGTAGGTAAATTTAATTTAAGATTGGTAATGATATGTATATATATATATATAGTCTGGTCTAATGGGAATGCAGATTTGAATCCAGCCTGTGCCAATTCTAGGTCTTTCTGTTGCTTTCCACTTCTCTATCCATAAAAAGACAAGAACAGGATTTACATTAAAGAACAAGTTGCAGAATTGTTACTTACAGACTTTTCATTGGCTGACTCCTGATCCTTGTTCACAGGAGACGATGATGGATAACGCCCTCCGCACCATCTCTTACATCGCAGACATCGGTGACGTGGTGGTCCTGATGGCTCGCAGGCGTCTGTCTAACACCTCCTCGCTCGACTGCACAGATTCAGGCCTCAGCACAGAAAGCCGGAAGCAGTACCGCATGATGTGCTACGTCTTTGAGTCAGAGGATGTGAGGCTGGTCTTTGCTAAAAATAATGAATTACGTGAATAATGATTACCATCAATTAACTTTTTTGAGAAAAGATTAAAGCTGAAGTGTTTTTTTTATTTCGAATTAAGATAAGGAATGAAGGTGTTCAGTGAACTTGTATTATTTTTGCAGTTGCAAGTTATTTTGACACAAGTAGCACAGAAATTACACACTTAAGCTTTAATCTAACAATCAAAAACTGCATAATAAATCTTTCCTTGTATCAGTGTTAATTGATACCCTCTAACTAATAAATGTACCCATAATATTAGTCAAGAATCCAGATGGAATATTCTGACTTTCTCCACATTTACTGCACTGAAGAAAAAAATAATAATAATCTGTAGAGTTCTGTGGACTTTATGGATTTGAATTAATAGATTTAGGTATGGAGAGTACCACACGTTTACTGTTAGTCGAAGGAATGATCAAATTAGCCTAAATATTGCATACATAAACATGTAATATTTAATACTGAATAAGCTATATTTAAAATTTAATAAACAAATACTCTTTTTGGTAACTGAAAGCATTATCAAATTAGCCTAAAAATTACTAAAAAAAACATATAATATTTAATGTTCAGTAAGCAATATTTACTATTAATATTTAATAAAAACACTCTTATCGGTAGCTGAAATCATTATCAAATAATGACCTAAATAATTCAAAAACAAATGTATAATATTTAATATTAACATTTAATCAAAAAAATCTTATCAGTAGCTGAAAGCATGAATTAATTAGCCTGAATAATTAATAAACGATCTAATATTTAATAGAAAAGTTTTAACATTAACACTGAAGTATGGTAGCATGTCCAAATAAGATTAAATAATGATAGCAAATATAAATTTAATGTTCAATAAGCAGTAGTTAACACTCATATTTAATAAACAAACACTCTTATTGGTAGCTGAAATGATCAAATTAGCCTAAATAATATACAATAAAATGCAATAAATAAATATTTAACATAAATAGTGTAATAATAATAAACAAACTCTATGCTGAAAGCATTATCAAATTCGATAAAAACTAAGCAAATATATACTATTCAATATCCAATAAGAAATCTTTGCCATCAGTATTTAATAAAGAAACACTGTTTTGGTAGCAGAAAACATTATTATCTTAAATATATAATATTCCATATTCAATGATAAATATTTTACATCAGTATATAATAAACAAACACTATTTTTGGTAGCTGAAATCATCAAATTAGCCCAAATAATGACTAAACAGACATGCATGTGTAACTGTGTGGATCACAGGCAAAGATTCCTTGTGGGTCTGTAGCTCATCAACATCTAGTCAGATTTGTATTTATTCTTCGTTGTGTTCATGTTGTGCTGATTGTGCTTGACTTTTTTCCACCCTCTCGATTCGACTCAAGCACTCTCTCGCTCTGAGATGTCATCAAGTATCCTCCTCTCGCTGAGTGCTTCACCTCCCTCTCCTCCCTCACAGGCCCAGCTCATCGCACAGTCCATCGGTCAGGCGTTCAGCATGGCCTACCAAGAGTTCCTCCGAGACAATGGGATCAATCCCAAGGACCTCAGCCAGAAAGACTACAGCGATATCCTGAGCACGCAGGAGATGTATAATGACGACCTCATCCATTTCTCCAACTCGGAAAACTGTAAAGAGGTGATTTCAGCACTGGAAACTTCAGCATAGCAGCTGTAAATTATAGTCAGTTGTGTTGTGGTGCTCCTCTCTTTTCCAGATCCCATTCTCCCAGTATTTCCTCATGTTTTCCTCTGACTTTCCACTGTCCTGTCTAGTGGTCGACCAGTATGGGTTTATCAGTGCTGATGGTGATAGAATCGAGATAAGGGGGACACATTTTGCTGTCATAAATATAACATATTTAACAGGTTTATAATTTTAATAATTAAATGTATGTATTTATATAAACACACACACTTTATCTATTATATTTATATAATTGTAACTGCATATGTATGTGTGTGTATATATAATATAATTATAGAAATTAGGGATGCACCGGTATCGGGCCGATACTGGTCTCCTGTACTCGTACTCGTTAAAATGCCCCGAAAAAGTGGTATCCCTAATAGAAATAATTTATATTAATAATATGAAATATATGGTAATAATATAATAAATATAAAATAACAGTAAAAATATCAAATGTATATTTTATTTATTATATATGTAATTTGCTATATTTTCTAATTATTAAATATTAAAAATAATATAAATATATTGTATAACTGTATAAATGGTAAATATTCATATATTTATTTTAATAAAAAATTTTATATACAGTATTTCTAAAACATTGATTTTTTTAATATTAATTTAAAATATTGACTTTGTACATTCATTTATTTTTATATGTAATTTTTATATTATTTAATATATGAATATGTAATTATAATAATGATATAACTATTGTAAGAGCCATTTTTGTCTTTACTGTGAATTATGTACGTGTATGCCCAGTAGGGGTCACTCTTGGGTGATTGTTCACAGAATATAGGTGGGAACCTTCCTTCAGGTAACAGGTGTTGCTGGAGGGAAGGTGCACACAGTTTTTTGACCGCTACGCTAGGCTGTTTGTACCACGCTATGCAAGTCGTTGTAAAGGTGAAGGATAGGTGGATATGTTGACTGTTTGTTTGGATTCTTGCCTACATGGAAATGAAGACCAATAACGGTAAAATAAATCTACAACAATGAGCATTTTTACATCTAGTGTGGACATTCCAGTTAATAGTAATCCAAGCGTGCGCGTCCATTTACAAGCACCGTCCAGCATCCCTCAGCTGCTTAAAGTATTAGACTTGGCCGCTTACAACTATATATTAACAATTGAACTGTATTATTTAATTGAATATATATTTGTAATATTAATGTATTTTTATATGTAATTATTTCTAATTATATTATTTTCAATTATTTTATATGAATTATATTAATATATAATTATATTAATTATATAACTATATATATATTAACTGTATAACTATATATTTAATTGAATACATTTTTCAAATTTTTACACACACTGTGTGTATATATATATATATATAATTTTTTTTTTTTTATGTAATATATTATTTTTCATTAGTCACAAATGTATTTTATTTTCACTGTATTTACTAATGCTCTTAAAGATTCATTCAATCATTAATTCAAATATATGAAAACTAAAACGTGCAAAAAGCAAGCTTGGTTATCAGCTGTGGTTGATAATAGTCTCATAATGGCTGAATACCAACTGATTAATTGACTGCAATGAATGCTGGTTAATCACTGCTTCTGCATATGCAGTTGCTTCATGCAACATCATTGTGGCATTAAAATCATACTTACAACAGCAATTAACACCTGTCACCCCATATTCATTTCACAAACTTTTCCGACTTCTCCAAGTTCTTTCTTTACTTTTTAGCCATTAATGGATCCTTCCTCTTTTTGATCATATTTTTGCACTCAGCTTCAGCTAGAGAAGCAGAAGGGCGAGATGCTGGGTGTGGTGATCGTGGAGTCGGGCTGGGGCTCCATCCTGCCCACCGTCATCTTGGCCTGCATGCTGAACAACGGCCCTGCCGCCCGCTCCGGCAAACTCAATGTGGGCGATCAGATCATGGCGGTCAACGACACCAGTCTGGTGGGCCTGCCGCTCGCCACCTGTCAGGGCATCATCAAGGTCTGGACACATCCAAGCATGTATTCAGCACATACGAGTTGCTAAGTGCATTCATTACATATTTTTAGTGCCTATGCGTGTGTGTTTCAGGGCCTGAAGAATCACGTTCAGGTGAAACTAAGTGTAGTGAGTTGCCCACCTGTTACTACTGTCCTCATAAAGAGACCCGACCTGCAATACCAGCTGGGTTTCAGCGTTCAGAACGGCATAGTGAGTGTCAAGAATCAACCAGCACTGAAAAACTGACACGCATCAAATAACAAACATCTAATGCATGACTAAAAGATGTCTTTTTCATTACAATAACTCTGCTCATCTGATCAGCTGATGTGTTAGGGGATTTTTTGATTGTATCATGACTTATTTCAGTCTTATGCTGTCGTCCTGGTGCTGAATTGCAGATCTGTAGTCTGATGCGTGGAGGTATTGCGGAGAGGGGTGGTGTGCGAGTCGGCCACAGAATAATTGAGATAAACGGACAGAGTGTGGTCGCTATGGCGCATGAGAAAATCGTCCACGCCCTTTCAGTGTCTGTAGGAGAGGTATGGCATTATATATATATATATATATATATGTAGTATGTTTTGATGGAATATTAGTAATAGTTCAGTCTCTGGCAGGGGTGTAAAAGTACAGAGACATTATACTTAAGTATAAGTGCTGTGCCAAAATATTCCATTAAAGGCCAAAAAATGTCTTGGCCAAAAAATGTCTTGGTCAAAAACTTACTTGGTTAAATTAAAAAGGTTTCCAAAAAAGGAAAAAAAATGTCTTTAATATTAATACTATATGAATGTATTACAATTTTATATATATATATATATATATAGTATTATATTATAAAAATGATTTCTGAAGGATCATGTGACACTGAAGACTGGAATAATGATGCTGAAAATTCAGCTTTGCATCACAGGAATAAATTACATTTTAAAATATATTTAAATTAAAAAACAAGGCATTTTAAATTGTAATAATATTTCACAATATTTCTGTTTTTACTGTATTTATGATCAAATAATTGCAGCCTTGGTGAGCACAAGACTTCTTTCAAAAACATTTAAAAAATCTTAATTATTCCAAACTTTTCACCACTAATGTGTGTGAGTTTATATAATTAACTTTCAAATTGACTGCCTCTAATTTAACATTCTCAGCTTTTTGTTTTTAATGATGTTTAATTAATCTTCTCTTATACTCACTGGCTACGTTTACATGCAACCAAATAATCCATTTGTAATCAGATTGACGGCTCAATCGGACTGAAAAACCTTCAAACCTTCACCTTAATCGATCCGATTGAGCTCGATCGGAATGAAATTTCGATCGGATTGAAGGGGGTGGTTTATTCCTTCTCTAATACGATTGAGAGTGCATGTAAACACTCGATCGGATTGAACCCCGAAACTGAAAAGCACTGCGCATGTGCAGTGACGCAGAAATAGCGTAATGACGTATGACGTGCGGAATGATTGGCTCTTCCTTTTGAATAAAGTGTTGTATAAATGCGTGTCCTGTCATTATAAAACTCTCCTTTCACTCGGCAACTGTGAAGTGGAGCAGGACAACCTCCCACCAGTCCTTGTTTTGGATTCTCATCCACAGGCAACCAGTTTTGGGTGCGGGGAGGGGCATTTTTACTGCGTGATAAATATGAGCAGCACGGCACAGCGGTTTATATATATATTTATCCATAAATTAATCAATATTAATTCTGCTGTTAAAAACAAATAAAGAGACCGTGTAGGAGAGTGGTTATTATGGGCAAACAGTGAGAAACTCTATATTTGTGCAGTGTGCGCATGTCAAAAAAAATCAATTCCGATTTGAAGCTTGTGACATATAAACACGTACATCAACCCGATCACTTTCTTTAGCGTTCATGCAAACACTACATTCAGATTCATCAGTCGGAATGAATTCAGTCCGATCGAACCAAAAATTGTGCATGTGCATGGGGGGGGAGTGTCAAATGGGCTTTTTATACATGTAATTGTTGAGGGGAGAGTAAAAAGTGTGAGTCAGTGGGAGAATTTAGAGACAAATGTAAATAAATAGAGAATTTATGACAAATGTAACATTTCAAAAAATTAAGATATTGTAAAAAAAATATATAATTTTGAAATACCCAATAAAAAAAATGGAAGCTAATTTATATACAGTATGTATGTGTGTTTTTTTTGCACTCAATTATTTTTATGATGTAATGTATTAATGCCATGAATGCTTTTAAAATGAGGTGTCTTTCTTTTTTTTCAACAGATTAACATGAAAACTATGCCTGCAGTCATGTTCAGGTTGTTAACTGGTCAAGAGACTCCGGCGTACATATAAGGAATCATAAACTGGGACTTTTCCTGCAACAACAACAACAACAAAAAAAAGGTTTACAGCTCCTCCTAAAAAAAGCAGAAAAATATTGAAGAGCTCTGTCTTGCTATAGACTGCATGTAAAGATCATAAGAGTCCAAACATAAACACAAAGAAAACCTAGTCACATAATTACCTGATCAAAGGAGCAATTATACAGATACAGTCTTCCATGCCAGACTTATTAGCTTGTATATATGTTAAATGCCTTTGGTTTGGAGTTCTTAAACTAACCAAATACCAAGTGACTGCACTAAAGCTCACTAAATCAATAAAGTAGGGCATTATCAATAGATTTCATTTTTAACAATACTCGTTTCACAAACTCAAAAATGAACAAATGGACTAAAGCATGCTGAAATCCAAAGATATCTGTTACATTTGCTGAATAGACTGCATTTTAGTTCTTCTGGCTGTCTTCAGTGTCTCTGTGATAAATGGCTACTGTACACTGTGAATGAACCATTTCTGTAGATTACTACTTCAGCATGCTGGATGTGAAGACTGAAAATATATTAATCAGAAAACCTGAGCTTCACTGATGTTTATATGCATGATTTTAATTGATGATTGGATATTATCTCATGAATGAATCCCCATCTGCATCTCAGGCATTACTGATATATGTTTTATTTTGGTATCATTGAGGTAGTATTATTATTTCTGAATTAGATTTTATTTGTATATTTTCTGTTTTAACTTTATTTTTTTTAAGTTTATACAGTTGTAGTTATTTTAGAACTTAAGTTTGAATTTCCATATCTTCATACAACTATTTCATATAACTTCAATTTAAGCTTTTTCATTTAGATTTTATTTCAATTCATATTTATTTCAAGTAATGAAAGTTTTTTTTTTGTTTTTTTTTAGCTAATGATGTGTGTGTGCATATGAATTACTTGTATATTAATTAACTTAGAAGAATTCATAATGAACTTCCATATTCAGATAGCTCACACATTGAAAAAACAATCTATGCAGACTATATTTTAAATGTAACAAATTATGCTCATGTGGATATGAATTCAATCTTGGTATTGCCAAATGTTATCTCATTTGACTAAAAAGAACTGTAACAGAAATAATGAAAATAGACACATTGTAGAATTTGTATTTTATTTTTTGTGTTATGTACATATATATATGAATATGCCGTTTGTATGGAACAGTTGGATCAGTAACAATTCTATGTACAGATGCTCCCAGCAATTCAGTCTGTAAGTTTTCAAGTAGTCGTTTTTCAAACCGCCCGTCAAAGTCTCTGTGAAAAATAGACAGAAGGGAGAAAAAACTATTAATCAAACAGCAAAAACTGTGAATTTTAAAACAATTAATGGCACAATTTTGGTGTAAATAGTCATATGCTTTTATTGCATGGAAAAGAGCAGCATGGAAATTCTTCAAAACATTTCCTTTTGTGTTCCATGGAAGAAAGAAACTCATACAGGTTTGGAACAACATGATGGTGAGTAAATGACCAAATCTTTTTTTCTGTTCTGATAATGTTAATGTAAATGCATTTATTTGTGCTTTGAAACATACTGTTAATGTAGTGATCTGCTGAGACATGGAGCCATTCCCTGTCTGTGTGTTGTCATCATAGATCACTCCCTCTAGAAAGCCTGAGTTGAGGTAGCCTTCACCAGTATGGCATTCATCATCCTCATTGTCCACGCCCACACTGAATACCTCCCTCATCCTCGCAGGAAACAGACAGTCCAGTAGCACCACCACCAAACCAATCACAGCGCACAGCAAACCTGAAAATAATCACCAAACACAAAAAAAAAGATTCTTCATTGGCATTGATGGTTCCATGAAGAGCACAACCATTGCACAAAAGGTTCTTTATAGTGGAAGAAGGTTCTTCAGATTACGTTCTTCACAAAATGGTTCTTTGAAGAACTGATCACTGAAAGGTTCTTTGGGGAATTTAAAAGTGGTTCTATGACATCACTGAGAAAACCACCTTCTGGAACTTTTATTTTTAAAAATGTGGAATATACCAACTCTTAAAATAAAGGTTCCAAAATGGGGTTTTTAAAGGGATCCAACAGAAGAACCATTTTGGGTTCCCGAAAGAACCTTGCCGTGAACAGTTCTTAAAAGAACCATTTTACTTTGTGTGAAGAACGTTTTAATAATCTAAAGAACCTTTTTTCCAATATGAAGAATCTTCTGTGGAATTGAAAGCTTCCTTGGATGTTAAAGGTTCTTCATGGAACCTCAGATGCCAGTAAAGAACCTTTATTTTTCAAAGTATAAAAAGGCTCCTCAGACTGCAAATAAAAATGGTTCTTTAGACCTGTTTACCTAATATGGTTCGCCAAAAGTATTGGCACCTCAGATTACATCTATATCATTTTATATCGTATTTTCTTTGTTTTCCAAGTCAAAAACATTTGAGAGTGGTGCGCTTTCCCATAAGAAGTATTTACCTGTAGCCAAAGCGATCCAGAAGGAATGGCTGTAATCTGTCCTTAAGGACTCTGCACCTACACTGAAGTCACATGGGGTCACATTGAATATAGTTGAGAAGGAAGCCATGGAGAAGAAGATGAAAGCGGCCGTGGCTATCATCATGTACCCGGCGTAGAGGATGACAGGCATTGAGAAGAGGATATTGGCCACGAGCCAGCAGCAAAAAGCCGTCCTGTGGGAGAAAGCCATTCTGTACTTTAGCTTGTTTGCATTTGTTGAATAGAATGGAGTTTCTTTACACTACAGTAAGACATTGGTGGTGTCTGTGTGTTGGTTTACCACAGATTGGCTGAGGCGAAGCGGCCCGAGTATCTGTACTGGTAGATGAGGCCGCAGGCGCTGTTGCGAGTGAACTTCTCTGCGATGTAAAGGATGGGGTTGGGAAGACCTCGCTCCAGCGCGTCGCCGTACTGCTCATCCACACTGCTCGACCACCTGAAGATCTCGTTGTAGTCAATGGTCTCATTTATCTGCGATACTGGTTTGCCTGTTGGAACGGATATTGAAAGAACCCATGAAACCTGAATTGGAGTCATAATCTTCTTGAAAAGTGGACCATAAATATTGACGACTCGTATGGTTTACCTTTAAGTGTGATGTTTATGCCATACAGCCCCACATGAAGTCCCACCTCAGCAGACACCACAGCGTTACTGAAGGATTTGTAGGTGGCGTTGGCCTTCACGCTGGCTTCAGCCCAGTCTCCAGTAAAATTCAATGCTGGAGTGGACAAAAAAAGTCAGGAAATGAAAATGTAGGCTGTTACACAATTTCAGCAGCTCTTATGTAATGACACAAGATAACTGGACTTAAAATGATATTTATTTCTATTGTTCCAGTTAAATTTTTAGACTCTTACTCACACTTTTATGACTGTATGAATGCTATTGCATTACATAACAAATATGTCAAATCAAACCAATTAAATTTAATGAAAGACACTCACTGGTAATCACCTTGACCTTGGTTAAATGTCATTGGAGAAATTAGAGAAAAACTCAAGCAGCGTTTGTTGTCTAATGCAATGATATTCATGCATTTTAAATTCATGTTAAATAGGAACATATTTTTGAGGCCAATATAAACATATCTAGCAACAAACAAGATTTCCAGATTAACTTACTTATTGAAAAATACTGGAAATACTCACCTACTAAAACAACTCCAATAAATAAACTAATGATTATCCTGAACATCCAGAACAGTCTCTGAAAAATAGGGCATTTTATTTTAATATTTTTCTCTCCCTTTTTTTTACACAATCTTTCAAATGTTTCTACATCTTTGACTGAAGAGCTGATGTAAAAGACTTCACATTATGTTTGTAAATCAACAAGGGCACAGAAATGTCAACAAAACTGACAAAAATACCCCATATATGTAATTTTAGTTTAAATGGTGTTACTGTACAGACCTTGAGATTTTTTAAAATGAGCACAGAAACGTCATCTATTTCCCTCAAAAATTCACATATTTGTAAAAATAGGGGGAAAATAGAAATAAATAGGCCTGTATGAAATAGCTACTGTGCTTGACAACTCAATTCAAGGTACAACGAATCACCTTTCACCTGATGGTTACACAATTTGAGACATTTTTGATGGCATTAAAGTTTTCCAAACTATATGAAACCATTTGAACAACAATTAGGTTTCTAAGAACTTGGCACGTATTTTAAACTATAATTTTTTTTAAAAAGCTCTCACCCTTCGATCATCTCACATATCCTTTTTTATCATTGATCCTTATTAAAGTTGTAGATAAGGAAAAAGCGTTCTAGACAAACTGATCTAACTCACTCACCGATTTGCCACGTATTCCCGGTAGAATGAGGAGGAAGCTGACAGCCAGAACCGAGAAAACCAGGATCACGACCAGCAGGCTGATGTCGAAGATGAACGGGCTCCTTTGTAGCGAGTAAAACGGGTAAATGCCATCGTAGAAAGTCATCTTCCCTCCACAGGCGAGAACTAAAGCTGAAAGCAGGACAGTGTTGGCCAGAGGCTCAGTTACCTGAAGATTGCAGATAACAGTCTAGTGTGCGAATTATACAGTGACTTTGAAATTTTAGGGCCCTTATAAGTGCTTCTAGCGAAACCCATATTCGAGCGGATTTTTGGCCGCCAGTAGAAAATGTTGCGACCGTCAACTTTCTTAGACATTTTTTTTTTGTGAGATGTGAAACTGTAAGAACAGGCTAAATAATGACAAGTTTTATGTTTTGTTGAACTATCGCCCATGCTTGAGAAACATGTCTTTTGCGAGCGACTATTTAGCGCCAAGTGAAATTCGCGCTCTAACTTTAGCGGTAAAAACGTTCATCCCCGTTTAAACAAAAGCTTGTAGTTAAAAAATATATATATATGTTTCCTTCATTACGCAAACAACCCCCATAATTCAGCCATCTCTCTCACTTCAGATCCGTCTTTAAAATCTATAAAAATTACTTAAAATACATCTACAACACAGAAAGCGCTACTCATAGAGCAGCCCGTTATAATGCAAATGATCCCGCTCAGGTAACCGGTCCAGGTAAGCGCACCTTGAGGTGATTGTTAACGTGAATGAGGATACTTTGATAACCGTAAATCAAAGAACATTGCATCTTCATTTAAAGTCTGACAGAACTGGATGTTACTTAATAGACATTTAGAAATTCCTACCCAACGACAATGCCGCATTGCAACTCACCTGTGGACGCAACGAGAGCCGCAAAACAACACGGAAAAATATGTGTCCTGAAAATAAGATGATCCTCTCGGCGCTCATCTTTTAAAGGATCGCACTTCCTAATAACAGCTTTGGTTTGCATTGATTGGTATTCCCAAAGAAAGGTGTCAACCGCTCATGACCAGACCAGCCCTTCAACATAAACTCAGTGTGAAACAGACAGGTGTGGATGTGGGTCGGACTCTCATTCCGTCACTGACTCTTCCTTTTACTTTCGCTGCCATCCGATCTATTCGCGGACAGGTGAGGTCTGCTATTCTGTAGACAGGCGTGACTGTATTTTCATTTTAATTGCCTTAATGTTTGCTCTAAATTTACCGATTGGTCAGTCTTAACGGCAAGACAGGTGTGAATACACCCTTTAGGAGAGTTGTGTCTGCTTGTACACACAGCAGTTTTCTCTAGTCTGAAGTGAAGTGCTCTCGTGTGAAGAGGTGTTTCATTGGTTTGGAAGAATGGGTTTATGTGAGGTAATCTGGAGAACTTTAACTGCACTGTCTGTTCTTTGTCCAGCTATTGGTGAGTAGAAGTCTGTCTATATCTACACTGAAAAAAAAAATGTTTCACTCAAAAATTGCTAGCAAATTAACAAATAATTACAAAGAAATGGCCATTTACGTTGAGCTTAGTGAAATTTTGATGTAAAAATACTAAAATAGTACATTCTTGTGGAACTTACTCTAATAATCTTTGTTTTATTTACAACTTTGAAAAATAATTTACTATCTATCTATCTGTCTTTCTATCTATCTATCTATCTATCTGTCTGTCTTTCTATCTATCTATCTATCTATCTATCTGTCTGTCTTTCTATCTGTCTATCTATCTATCTATCTATCTATCTATCTATCTATCTATCTTTCTATCTGTCTTTCTATCTATCTATCTATCTATCTATCTATCTGTCTTTCTATCTATCTATCTATCTCTGTCTTTCTATCTGTCTATCTATCTATCTATCTATCTATCTATCTATCTATCTATCTTTCTATCTGTCTTTCTATCTATCTATCTATCTATCTATCTATCTGTCTTTCTATCTATCTATCTATCTATCTATCTGTCTGTCTTTCTATCTGTCTATCTATCTATCTATCTATCTATCTATCTATCTATCTATCTATCTATCTGTCTTTCTATCTATCTATCTATCTATCTATCTATCTGTTGCATTTTGAAATGATAAAAAATACTATAATTTTTATTATTTTTCAGTTTAACTGTCCTCTCAAATTTTTTATGCAGTTTTAATCAGAAAAAAATGACAGTATTTTCTATATGGTCTCAGATTTTTGAACCTCACTTTGTGCATATATGAAAAAACATGAATTTCCAGCTTTTTGTATACCTAATATGAGTTAATGTTATTCATGAAAGTTACTGTGAAGTATTTCAATAAACTGTACTTCAATCAAGGTTATTCAAAAATATTTCGCTCTATTTTGCAATAAAACAGTATTGTAACAAAAAGTCTCATTGTCACAAAATAGCTTTTTTTTCTTTAATCTTGAATATTTATTTATTTTACACCATAACTATTCTTGTATTTAATTTTTTGAGGGACGTTTTATGATGTAAATTAGATTTTGAATTCTAGAACTTTATTTTAAGAACAGCTTGAATGTGCATGGAATAAATGAATAGGTCATTAACTAACATTATATGATGATTCACATTTATTATAGTGTTGCAAAACTCCCTTTGATCTTGAACCAAACAGGTGCCAATTCTGCCATTGCTTGGGAAGTTCAAAGGTATGATGGGTGGTACAATAATTTGGCAGATCACAATCGAGGGGCTACAGGTGACTGAATTCATACTTCTTTTAGGCTTTTTACAAAAAAAAAAAAAAAAAAAAAATTTTTTCATCAGGATGTTCTCCCCACAGGTGCAGCACTGGTCCGTCTCTTTCCGGCACAGTACACGGATGGTGTTTATCTGCCCCGACAGGAACCACACCTGCCCAACCCCCGCCAGATAAGCAACATAGCCATGAGTGGCCAATCCGGACTCTTGTCCTACAGGAACAGAAGCGTTCTCTCTGTAGCCTTCGGTGAGTGACGCTTTTATTTAAACATGGCGCAACCTGTTGATTGAAGAGCCAGCCCTTTAATTATAGTTTCACATTTTTAATAAAGGCATCCTGAGTGTAATTTACCTTAAAGGGATAGCTCATCCAATTAAAATAAAAATTGTACTATTTATTCACCCTCATGCTGTTCCAGTCCTTTCTTTCATGGTACAAAAACCAAGAAATTGCTAGTAACTCTTTTCCATGCAATTGCAATGCATAGGGACTGGAACATTCAAGCTTCAAAACAGATGCAAAAGCACTATAAAATGACTCTTTCACTGTATTATTATCTTATGGGTTCAGTCAGACTGTTATAAGTCCACCCTGGTTCTCCTAAGTGTGTTTATAAGGAAGCATTCATCCTTTTAGATTAGATTAGATTAGATAAACCTTTATTCGTCCCACAATAGGGAAGTTTCCATGTTACAGCAGCGAAGAAAAAGTGCAAATAAGCAAAGACTGAAAAAAGGAATCATTCATCCTTTTGAGTCAGATATTTCAGTTAAATGTTACGAAAATGATTCGTTCACAAAATGGACTGAATCAGTCAAGTGGAATAGCATGTATTTTTGAATATGATTGAGAAAATAGTTAGATTCAAGTGTTTACTTGCTTTATTTCCTTTTGATTGGATTATTTCAGGTTTACATCACCTCTTTCAATCTAATTGAAATTTCATTTGGCTCAAGCTCAACTGGATCGATTGAGCAGTTTCATTGTCAAGTCTTTTCAGTCTGACTGAGGTATCAGTCCATCAATAAACAGATTATTTGGCTGCTTGTAAATGTAGCTAGTGATTGCAGAGGTTCACAAGTTAAAAGTTTACCCAAAAATGAAAATGTGCTGTTAATTTACTCACCCTCAGGCCTTCCAAGATATAGGTGAATTTTTTCCTTGAGTAGAACAGTGAAGAAGATTTTTAGCTGAAACCGTGGCCCTTGGTGATTGATGAAGTGATGTCAGTGGCTACCATCATTTGGAGAGTCAAAAACGCATATCAGGGAACCCAAAATTAATACCCGTGGCTCCTGATGATATATTGAGGTCTTATGAAGTGAAGCGATCAGTCTGTGCAAGAAACTGAACATTATTTATTACCTGTAATCAACAGCCTCAGGCAAACAGGGAAATCTGATTGTTTTCTGCGAACTGGTTCTTTCAGACAGTTGGTTTCAGTTAACTGGTTCAAATAACTGATTATTCATCACGCAATGATGTAATGTAAGCACAAATATATTATTAAAGCACCCAAGAATGAAGTGAAACATGGATGTTTTACATGTCTAAAGCATATAAAGTAAATAAAATAGTCTTCTTCAGCTCACCTTTTTACATAAGCAATGAGAAAACCATAAAAACGTTCATTCAAGTGTTTGGTTCTCGCATTCGCGTATCACCGGCTCATCAGTCTCCAGCCGTAACTGTTTCCTCAGTTCAGTGACTGTGGTAGTAACTGGAGTGCTGAATGATTTGGGAAAACCAGCATGAGTGCTTCACTGAAACCTGGCAGAGTGAAGCCATTCCGGACAACGCGCTTCATCTGCCGGGCTACCAGCTGTTCAGAGCGGATCGCATCGCGGAGTTAACGGGGAAAACCAGAGGAGGTGGATTGTGTTTCTACATCAACGAACGTTGGTGTTCAGATGTAACAACGCTGAAAAAGGTATGCTGTCCTAATTTAGAGGCACTCATCATAAACTGTAAACCTTTCTACTCGCCGCGGGAGTTTTCCTCTTTCATTCTCGTGAATGTGTACGTGCCCCCGGACGCGTGCGTGAGCGCCGCGATGCAACAGCTGGCCGAACAAATAACTGAAATGGAGCAAAGGTACCCAGACTCTATTTTAATCATTCTTGGAGATTTTAACAAATCAAATCTCTCCCGTGAACTGCCAAAATACAAGCAGCACATTACGTGTCCCACCAGAGACAGCACTATTTTGGATCACTGTTACACAGCAATAAAGGATGCATATCACTCTGTCCCACGAGCAGCTTTGGGGCTCTCTGATCACTGTTTGGTTCATCTAATACCGACCTACAGGCAGAAACTGAAATCAGCTAAACCTGTATTAAGGACTGTAAAAAGATGGACTAATGAAGCAGAGCAGGATTTACAAGCTTGTTTTGACCTCACTGATTGGAGCATCTTTGAAGCTGCAGCCACCGATCTGGACGAGCTCACAGAGACTGTAACTTCATATATCAGTTTCTGTGAAGATATGTGCATTCCTACCAGGACATTCTTATCATTTAATAATGATAAACCGTGGTTTACTGGGAAACTCAAACAGCTTCGTCACGCCAAAGAGGATGCTTACAGAAGTGGGGATAAAATCTTGTATAACCCTGTCATCAAGTCAAATTCCTTGTGTGTGTAAACATACTTGGTAATAAAGCTCTTCTGATTCTGATTCTGATTCTGATTCTGATGACAGGATGAGATACGCTGGTATTTTGGCTCATTTCAAGTCGGAGTGACTGTCAGGCGTTTGAAAGTGAGTCTTGATTAACTGCTTGAGCTGCGAATCAACGTAATCAGATTCGCACGTAATCAGCCTTGTTTACGTTCAGTAGAAAGTATAATAAAGTAAAGTAAACAACGCTCATTACGTTGATTACATGGGTACTCTCCAAAATGGCGGAAGACGGTAACTCGGGTAGAAGAACTGCTGAATAAATTATGTTATTATTGTTTTCTTTGCGCACAAAAAGCATTCTCGTAGCTTCGTAAAATTACGGTTGAACCCCTGATGTCACATGGACTGTTTTACCGATGTCCTTGCTACGTTTCTGGACCTGGGAACAGTGCAGTTGCATTGCTGTATACGGAGAGTCAGAAAGCTCTCGAATTAATCAAAAATATCTTCATTTGTGCTCCGAAGATGAACGAAGGTCTTACGGGTTTGGAACGACATGAGGGTGAGTAATTAATGACAGAATTTTCATTTTTGGGTGAACTAACCCTTTAAGAATTTAAAGTTTTAGAGTTCTTCAAGGATTTCAGTAGATATTTTCCTGATATTGTCTCCTTTTTGTAAAAGATCAAGGAGAATTTGATTCCTCATGATGGCCACTTTAACACATGCTCGTTATTACTGCATTAGGTTATCATGTGTGGTCCGAGATCTCAGAATCCCGAAGACCTGGTTGCCCACCTGAGTTCCTGCATATTAAAGTCCAAAAAGAAGATCCTGTCTTTGGCTCTAACTCTTCGCAACCGGTCCTGCTCCAGTTCCAGAGAGCAGAGTGGGATCTGAGCACAGGCAATAGTCCCAACAATCCTCGCACACAGGTGTGTATGTAGACACAATAGATTGTATGGGATTTAGAATGGATCTGCTGAGTTTTTGATTTACGCATAATTCATTTCAGGTGAATCACGTGACAGCATGGATAGATGGCAGCTCCATCTATGGATCGTCCAGCTCATGGTGTGATGCCTTGAGAGTGTTTTCCAGAGGACTGCTGGCATCAGGCTCCTCACAGGACATGCCCCGGCGCAGCAGCAGCGGTTACCTCATGTGGAGCGCACCGGACCCCAGCACCAGCCCCGGCTCTCAGGAGCTCTATGGTAACATATGGAGCTGCTACTTTAAGTTGTAGTACATTTCTTTATTTATGACCACACGGGCAGAAGTCACATGGCTATTCAAGGAATTTTTGTCTGGTAGGACTTGGAATATTTTGCATTCATACTTTCTTGCAACATCTCTTACAAAATTATACCATGGTATCCATAGATTCCTTCAAAGTACTATAGTAACTGCAATTATTTACCTGCTATAAAATCATAAATTAATATAAGACCCTCTGCAAACACTGAGAAGCTTTCAGAATTTTTGTCATTCATTCATTTGTTTGTTTCTTTGTTGGTTTTTTTGTTTATGGATAAATAAGTACTTTTTTATTTTCTTAATGGATAACTATTTTATTAGTTTGTTTGTTTGTCTGTTACCCATTTTTACATTTATTTAGTTTTGGACAAATACATAATACATGTATTATATGTATAAATAAATAAATAGACTTATTTATAAATAATAGTTTGGTTTTATTATAATAATAATAATAATTATTATTATTATTATTTATTTATGGATGAATATATAAATAATACATAAATGGGAAAAATAAACACATACTAATAAATAAACAAATAAATTAATTATTAATGAATGAAATAATAATAATAATAATAATAATAATAATAATAATAATAATAATAATAATAATAATAATAATAATAATAATAAATAAATAAAGTAATAAATAAAGTAATAAATAAATTATAAAAATTAAAAATCATTATAAAAATAATAAATTATAATAAATAAATAAATGTTGGAATAATTAAATAAATACTAGAGTGGTATTGTTGCAACTGTGACTATAGTAATTATCATATTTTAGCGGTCACTATGGTTACCATGGTACATTTTTGTAAGGGATTCAGGTAACATTTTAAGTCTTTTTGCTCGTAATTTAATCTGTCACCAGGTTCTTTTGCATGAGCATGTGTCTGCTAAAACCCATAACAATGTGCGGCTGGTATGTTGCTGTAAAAAAAATTACACCAAACACCAAAATGAGGTATGGTACGTAAAATACTCTAAATAAACCACAGCTTTTGTTTAAAGGGGTCATATGATGCTGCTAAAAAGAACATTGTTTTGTATGTGACTCCAATAGACCATCGTTTTTTGAAAATAATCTTCAATCTATGTACATTTACCTCTTGTAAATGGCTCCATACACTCTTAAAAATAAAGGTGCTTCAAAAGGTTCTTCACAGCGATGCCATAGAAGAACCATTTTTGGTTCCACAAAGAACCATTCAGTCAAAGGTTCTTTAAAGAACCATCTCTTTCTTACCTTTTTATAATCTGAAGAACCTTATTTCACCACAAAGAACCTTTTGTGAAACAGAAAGGTTCTTCAGATATTAAAGGTTCTTTATGGAACCATTTAGACAAAAAAGGTTCTTCTATGGCATCGTGAAGCACCTTTAATTTTAAGAGTGTAGCTAGCAAAACATTAAGCAATAAAGTACAAGCGAACATGATACAGATCGGAGTAACTTTTCACTTTGCGTGGGTTTCGTACGGGTTTTGCATGCAAAGGGCTTATGGAAATGTTGCAAGTTGTGGTTTTCAGCTGCTGGTTTTGTGTATTCTCAGAGTTCGGGAATGCCTGGGCCAATGAGAACATCTTTACGGTCACTGAGGGAATTATTTGGTTTCGTTACCACAATTACCTGGCCTCCAAACTGCATAAGGAACACCCCTCTTGGTCAGACGAAGAGCTTTTCCAAAATGCCCGAAAGAGGGTTATTGCCACATTTCAGGTAAAGCAGATCCTCTATTACTGACTCACTTTATGTAACAGGTGCCAATTTGGAGGGGTGTGATGCAGTATCCTTAACTTAATATCTCCTTTGAACACATCTTTTCTCAGAATCTAGCGTTCTATGAGTGGCTGCCGGCCTATCTGGGAATACCAGTGACTTCCTATCCAGGTGAGATTTCTGTGTGTGTGTGTGTGTGTGTGTGTGTGTGTGTGTGTGTGTGTGTGTGTGTGTGT